GTTCTCTTCTTCGAACCTGTCTCTTAGAATTGTTCGAATCACGCTAACAGTTAATACTAAGTCGTCTATATCATGCATTAATGCATGATAGAGTAGTAGGATTGAGTTATTGAATGAATAAACAGTTGAGAGTCTCCCAATGTTTTTGATTTTTTTAATAATCCATAACCTGCGCGGTTTTGCGTCAGTGTTGTCAGCAGCAGCGAAATGTGTTAATGCTGATCGGTTTGACACATTTCGAAGTTTCTAAAGCAAGTGCTCGTTCTTCTTGACAGCGTTTCGAACCGTTAACTTTCACATCACGGAAACGCATTAAATCAGTCAGCTTTAACGCGTCTCGCGGCAATGGGAAAACGCACTTTGGAAATGCATCTTTTTCGCAGAAATTGCGCACCATAGGAAGTGTATTACACACTTGTCATAAAAATGAATCGTACATCTTGTCTCTTTCATTTGTTTTATCCGCCTAGCTTTTGTTGAGTATCAACTTATAACACTAATATATCTGTTATTTCTCTGACTGTTCCAGAAACTAACACATATGAATAGTGATATACAGATGAGAGAGTAACAAATCTGTTATAGATATTGCTGAGTGCATGAAACGGAATTTACTGTGGAGTCGATCTTGCTATGTTTTTTGCTTCATCTGATGTCTCATCCTATAATTAGTTTGATGTTATATAAAAGTTAAGAGTGAATGAGAGTACACTTGCTTTAGAAGTTGAGACTTACCAGATATGGAAAAGTAGGAGAGCGGTTGAATCTATGAATGAACATATTTTGAAATTGTTTTCCTATGAGAGAGTTCAGGCGTATGTGAAAATATGTATGGATAGGTAGGGTAAAGAGATGTCAGGATGTGATGTAGAGTCGTCAATGGTAGTACTATTGCCTCACAGGTATCATTACCGATCTAAACTAGTGCGAAGTGACAGAAAAATTAGTAGACTAGCATGAGTCATTCTGCAGTTTCGAATTCAAATTACTGTGAAAACAAAAAACTCGATTAGTAATTGATGTGTATTGATCATCACAAAGATCATACAATAATTCTGGTATGTTTGTTTAGGATTTTAATTATCCATTTCAATGAGCCTTTTCTTTGTGAACATCAATTTGTAAGTACAAAAATTCATGTTGCTGCAAATTCTATAAGCTTTTTGGTTTCATTCACACTAGAAAAGAAGGGCCGTATAATGGATCTTACAAGATGACTTACGAGCCTTCAAAATCTTAGCAGAGACTGCAGCGAATAAGAAAACTTCCCTTCCAACTTGAATCAATCCGGTCTACTTTTTCAATTTTTCCGCTGCATTCAATTCAATGAGATTCGATTGCCACTATTAGAGAGAAATTTTTTTTCGCGTGTGTTAGTTGTTGCTGACCTTTGTGATGTTCTTTTCTGAATCAGCAACCTATTGTTCTTTTTTCCAGTTATAGTCGCCTTTTCTTTATTTGATACATTAATGCATATTTATAGGTTGTTGTCTTTTAAAATAAAATTGCAATAGAAACAATATTTCATAGATAAACATTTTCATAAAAGTTCCATATTAATGGATGCGAGAACAAGGATATAATTAACATTTGGACGCCATGAACTTTATGACCTGTGAACACCTTTTGAAATTTGACGAGCGAAAAATGATCTCTACAAAGATTAGGCAGAACACTTAATAATACAAGGAGATAAGTGCTTGTTTCAGTGATATTTTCTTTCTGAAGGAGATTACCTACATAGGTACTAAGGAAACAGCGACCAGGGATCAAGTGGCAATCTTGAGTTTATTATTAAGGAACTTTTCTTGTCTGATATACATATAACTTTTAAAATGCAGATATCTTTTTATTATAAAACTCATCATAGCAAAATATTACAATGAGATTGTAAATATACAATTATCGAAAGCGTTTGCTGTTATCATGTTCAACTGTAACTCAATGGATATTCAAATAGAACGCTGAGCACAGTCGTTTAGTAAAAAACTTGGATATGATAATTCATTTTGTGTCGATTTTTTACTAGCAGATGATCTCTATTTTGTTTATATTTATTATAGTATGAGAGAATATATTTCACCTTCTTCTGTGTTTGATCATGAATTTTTTCAATGCATTCTCAAGCCAGAGAAAAACAGACTAAAGTGGTCTCGATTCGATTGGATGCAACTCAGTTTCTATCTGTGAGCCATAGCTCAAGTTTTCGTAAAACGTTAAAGGATTTATGAAAATTTGATGAAGGGCATATGATTCTAATAAATGCTAGCACAGTCTCTATTATTCTACACTTTCTTAGATTATATACTACAATTGATACATTTGCGTATGAAGGCCACATCCAACAAGATGCTCGTGATTTTTTTTCTTCAATTGCTGATTATGATCAATCCGCTAGTATCTGCAGGAGATTTTAGTCCCGATACCAATGATTACGATGCTTACGGATTGAAGATAGCTGCCAACAATCTTGTTTTAGTCGAGTCACAGCCCGATGCTAATGAGTTCCTCGTACTATTCGCACCCTATGATAATATTACTACTGGTCAACAATGTTTCATTGCCTATGAAGATGACAATGATTATGTTTATTCGGTAGGAGTTGGTTTTCAATCAAGTGATAGCAATTTTTACGCTATCGGCCAATTCTCTACGGCGAGCGGTGACGATACTGATTCGACTGGAGGCAATGCCACATTTATTGCATATTATAATGCTACAAATGATCAACAATGCGGTCAAATTAGCCGTACCATAATTCGTCATGTTCTTTTGTCTCCAGAAGATTTTCTCGTTATGGTCGTTCATCCGGCTGGACAGTTTGCTCTTGGACTGGCAATGAGTTTTGTATTTACATTTAATCCCTTCGGTTCCTTGGTGATCAGTACGAATACTTCGTTTTGGCCAAACAGTTCCTTTGCCCCGAGGGCAGCTGACATGGACGTTAATTTCACTGTTGTAGCGGGTTTAGTTTCCAATTCGGCTTCTTCTCGTGTACGTGCTAGCGTTGTTGTCTATCTAATTGATAACAGTTTGAGTACTGTCTACTCTACTTGGAGCTATATACCAGCGAATAATAGTTGGCAAAGTCGATTAACTTTTTCGGGGGCCAACAGCTGGTCTGTCAAGTATACCATGTCCGTTGATATCAACAACTTCGATTCAACCCGCGTACTGGTCGGCGTTCCTTATCTCAATACTGTCTTTCATTTTACCGTAAGTGGCGGTGGAAGAATACTAACATTGTCCGACCAAAGAAGTAATGGAAACAGTGTTGGCTTTGGCAAGGGCGTTGCTTGGCTTGCATCTAATCAAGCCGCCATTCTTGCCAACCAATATACATCAACATTTTCTAGTTGGTTATCTTCACAGATATGGCTCTATACGCAGTTATCGACAACAGGTCTTGCTTCAGCAGCAACAGCCATCATACCTAACTGTCAACAGCCTATACCTTCCAACATTAATAGTGAACTTCTTAATATAAAATCTACTCCAACTGTATTGACTGTCTTAGATGTATTTGGTGGAATTCTTTTTATTATAGCTACTGCTCCTGGCTATTATGCTTCAACGGATACAAGTCTTGCACCCGTGTCTATTGCAATACCAATCATCAGTACAACACAAAACTGTTCCGCAGGAATGATGAAGAGTGACACAGGAGTTCATCCATGTAGTCTTTGTCCTATGGGCTGGAAAAGTAGTGTAGGTAGCATAAATTGTACAGTTTGTAATGCATCAGCATTTTGTCCGCTTGGTGCTGTGGATGAAGTGTCCCAAAGTGAGCTGCAAACGGTCTCGCAAGCGTATGCATATCCGCAAAACCCAGAAAAAACAGAGGTCGAGGGTATTCTCGTATCAAATGTGTTTCAAATTGGCTCGAGTAGCAATTGTGTTCTTGTGTCACCTTTATTTTGGACTCTCATCGTCCTCATCCCAATGGTGACAATTTTTATCATTATCTTTATATGCCAGATCAGCAATGGAAAAGTAAAGGGCTCTGTACATGTCAAAACTGTTAAAAAAATTTTCAAACAAACCGATTTTATAGTAAGTCATTGTGGTTTTTTCAAAGCTAAGCGATGAAAAACGTTTCCTAACACTGAATGATTTCAATATCATTCTTCATGGGAGAAATTACATTCGAAAAAGTCACATGAAATCGAGTCTTTCAGATAAACATCCTTCATAAGAAAAGCATAGAAGGCCTCGAGTTTCGATCGTTAGAAAATGAGGAAATACTATAAATCAATTCTGAATTTGCCATATTCGTGTAGTGGTTAGCCAAAAGCCATCATGAAACCATTTAAAAATATTAAAAGTTATTTCTTGTTTTCAAAACGTCCAATTGTATCGGTTCTAAATTTGATTCTGGAACGATTTGGATGAAATCGATTCAATTATGGTATTTTTTCAAAACCATCTTTCATAGATATACTGTTAACCACTTGAACAATGTTTCCATTCTAGGAGCAAGATACGTGGCAACTAGTAGTTTGAACAAGAAAATCTTTGTCGATTTTTGTTCATCATCAGGTCATTCATTCCAAAATAGAATTAAAAATGGAAGCAATTTACTTGTAGGAGGACATTAAAATTACGTATTTAAACAGTAGAGAATGTGTTTCAAGTAGTAAAAGCTCTAAGAGAATTGAACCACTTAAAAGTATCTTATAGGTATTTCTAAATAGAAAATTTACCTTTTCTTAGTAAATGTAGTAGATTTTTGCACATCATCGAGCTATATATGAAGTCAGCGAAGAAACATACCGGGAATTATGAATTCGTCCATTCACATAGTGGAAATAGGGGTAATCAATAATGAAACATACAGATACACGATTAGTGCACGAAGGTTTCATATAAGCAAAACCTTATCATATGGACAATGGTATTATGAGATTTTCCTTATATGCAATCTTCTTACACTAATCATATATCTGTACGTTTAATTATTGATTGCGTCTACTGCCATTATGTAAATGACCGAGAGCGCAGCATTCAAGCACGCAACATGTTGACACGAGACATAATGAAAAAATATTCTGAATTCAGTATGAAATAATCTAAAATGTGTCTAAACCTGCAATCTTGACTTTTTCTGCATTATTTTCATATAGGGTGAAGGGGAAATGTGGATCGGTGGCTTACTCTCGATTGTGATAATTGTACTTCTCATTCAAGCATATGTCTTCAGCAGCAAATTTGTCAATCAGTACCCAGCTGAAAAAGTTGGTGATAGTAACTTTGCTTGTGACGTTACGTTGCGAAATGCTTTGTTTCAAAGTATGCTACGATCACTTGCCGTCCCGCTATCTGATGAAGAGCAAAAAATATTTGATTTACTCGACAATCAGCAGTGGACATTAAATGTTAATTTAATCAACACAGCTGTTATTTGTTCATCGATCTCTGCCTACCAAATTTTCGGTACATCATCAAATGCAATTGCTATAACATCGTGTACGCTTGCCAATTCTATTGTAAAAATGACTATTGTCTTATTGTCTGATACGACTTCAATACAACTGATAATTAATGATATTAAACCAATTGGAGCCATATCAGTGGGTGTGAGTGCTCCAGGAAATGAGAACGGAAGTTACACGCTCAGAGACCTCGGATTTAGTCAGACATTTTACAGTAATAATCAAACATTGGCTCAAACAGTTCTCATTTCTCTTGCAGTCAGTAAAGTAAGATCAATATAAATTCTATTGATAAGTGTATATATTTTGCATTCCAATGACTTTTCTAAGACGGTCTTGAGAGTAGTTGTTGTGCTATCTAGCTGTCAAATCATAACTTCGATGCCAAAGATAACATGTGTATGATAAGAAAATAGTGCTGTACCGAGAACTCTATCGATGTTCAGTAAAAGTATGCAATCTTCTTAGAATATATATGGAATAAAACATGTTTTTTTGGAAAAAAGGCATGAATCTTGAGAAAATTGAATGAAATCTACGACACGAGAGATTTATTAAGAATTCGCGAGAATTTCACACGGTTATGTACCGAAACTTTTGCTCTACAAAATTTAAAACAGACTTATACAAAGATTCGTCCTATGATCCAACAAACAGAATTTTTAAGGGTTCATATCATAGCCGAACCTTTTGATAAGTTGAATAGTTGCATTGATATGAATACCTTGTGAGAAAGCATTAATTACGCGTTTCTACAACCAAAACTACTTCAATTTGAGTATTTTTGATGATTACTGAAAAATTCAGCAGTAGTTTGAGTTTCTAGTGTTTTTCTTTTTGATTTATGAGTGTTTTGATAGTTTCTTCGCTAATCGGTATAAGTTTACGAAGAAAACCGAATGGTAAAATTTTTAGCTGAAATTTCTTTCATGAATAGATTTTGTTGAATCTAAAGAGTTTTCTTACAGTTCCAGCGAGAAAATTTTCATACAAGTTTTCTAATTTTCAAACGCAATCACAAACAGATGTAACGTCTGTAAAATATAAATCTCTTGATGAAGATAACTTCTACCTGTCCTCTCACTCTGAGGATTCTTCAGCACACATGAGATCTATTCAGACAGGAAATTTTAGTTCGAAATTCCATGATTCGATTTTATCCATAATATTAATATGTTCATCAGTGAAAAATCTAGTGAAATGCTTATAACTAACGAGAAAACATGAGAAACTTAAACCAAAACTGATTCGTTTGGATATTCGCCGATATCGATGGAATTGAAGAAGTTATACTGCGAAAAAAAAAACTATATGTAAATAAAAAAATTTCCTCCTTAGTTTTTCTACATCAATCAATGAAAATTCATCGCATTACTGACTTCTTTATCCAATTTTCACTGACATATTAATAAGAGTTATTATAGAACATGTTATCATGTTCGAAAAAAAAATGACTGACACTCCAAAATAGGCTTTAAAAGAAATTGATGAATGAGAAAATGAATATACTTCTCGTACAAATTCTCGAGATTCTATCGATTTGCTGGTACAGTTAAGCCATTTCAGGACATTTATTGAAATGTAATCTATAATCCTTTTGTAGTAAGTGAAGAAAACTTCCTTTGTCCAAACGTTGTAATAAACGATAAGAAAGAGTATTTCAATTAAAAGAAGTCAGTAATGGCATTCTTTCTGTTTTGAAATTAGTGTACCATCGTTCTCTCGATCCAATATCGGTCGAAGTCCTATGATAGATTTATAGTGTCGGCAGTAAGAGGACAGAAACCCTTTTATTTCCATTTTTGAAATCAGTTAATCACAAACAACATGTGTTCTTTCATTCATTTGTCAGAATAAAGTAATTTTATTAAATAGCGGATTTTTTCGCAATAGATATGTTCTTGATAATATTTCTTATGAAAATAATTCTAGCGTTCGATTATCGCTTCATAGATAATTAAGTTTTACGAGACGACAAACACTTGATCAAGCGAAGTCTCAGAATGATTAGCTAAATAAGTAGATCAAACTACTTATGCATGATGTTCAGATTCTTTCATTTTATTCTCCGTTATACAACAGAAGTAAATGAATAGATGATTTAGTGAAATTGTCAATTATTCTAGATGATTACTTTATCCTTTTTTTTTCTCAAAATGTCTAACAAAATCCTGCAGAAGATTGTTAAACTAAAGAAACTTTTATACAAGTTTAACCATATTGGGTGAAAAATAATTCTCTTTAAAACTTGTCGAAAGAGTGTAGCTATTCATATGAAGTCGTCATTTTTAAATATTTCTCTGAAAGTTAAATTTTCATTTAATAATGCGTATGCCAGACAATATGATCTAACCTAAATAATGTGATTTATACCACATTTTTTGACAAAAATATTTCAGAATGAAACATAATAAAACATTTTTATCAGTAGATTAAAGCTTAATACAAGCATGACTTTTTCTAGGTCGTAAACAAGACAGAACCATTAAGTGGATCAGAAGCAGAGTTCGCGGGAAATTGGTATCCAGTATATACTGTGGACAAAAGTATAGCATTCGTCACGAGTGATGCATATGTGACCTCATTCAAGTTGACACAAACTACAGTGAGTATCGATATCACTGAAACGTCATACTATATCCGGAATGTACAAACGCCGCTTGTCAAAATACCCGACATGATTTTCAAAAATCTTTTATTCACCATCCTTTTATTGGAAATGTTCGGGTTGTGTTTTCTTGTTTTCAATCTTATGCTCATTCCTCTACTCAAATTCCTCCTATTACAAGACAAGCATTGGAGAACTAGATTATGTGGTAAAGATGAAGATAGCTCAGACGATGATGATGATGTAGAGAGTCAACATGGAAAGCTGAGTGGACGTAAATCAGCAAAAGTATCTCCAGGTTCAGTTCATCCAAAGCAATTCGAAGAACTTGAAGGGCCACATGTGAGCTAATCAAGTAAAAAACCCAACGATTCACAAAGCAATCCGTCTACTATTGTAGTTTGGAGTTGAAAAGAACAATAGCAGATGGTTATCGATCACTGCGACTCTTGCAGCTTGCAATTGATGTGTCACCGTTTGATTTTTACATTTTAGTTTCACTGATTGTTATTTTATGATTGCTTTTCTCTCTCTATCATACCTGACTATCTGCAGCCGTCTCCGATGATCTTTGTCTCATTAATCGACATCTCGTTCATGAGTCAATAATTGTTGCATCATATATTATTTCACTGCATATGCTTTGATTTTCTTTATCACTAATATCACTATTTTCTTTTATGTATGTTCTTTGTTTCTGTTTCTGTTTTTCTCTCTTTCACTTTATATATAAGCGAATGCATAATAAAAAAATTGATAACTCTGCCACTGTAGCCTCTTGTCGTTGACAAAGTTCTTCTTTATGCATTTTCTAAAAGTAATCTTGACTCACATTACTGTTGAATCCTAAGTCTCAACCGACGATGATATCAATGCATGATTGCTACCTTTATTTAACACGTAGACTCTGTTTGACATATGGAACAAACTATCCACGAGATCAAACTGCAAATCGAAAATCAAATCATCACCCTTCACTATTAGCATCAGAACCTCTGGACACAAAATTCTGACAGCACGGAGTTTTTCAATATTAACCAAGTTGAACTAAAGCAAACCTTTTCGATATACATTGTACGACCTCTCTTCGATTGCATGGTCATCATTCATCCATGGATCCACAAGAAATCAACATTTTTCCGATCTAATTTTCTCTAGGTCTCATAATCCATTTAGCTCCTTTACTCCTATTGATTTCATGTGTTATTATTAATTTTACGCCTACTCGTCTCTTCGGTTCATGTTACGGTCAGAATGAAGTTCACTTTCGGAGTGATGGTCTGCATGCAGTTATTTTTCAAGTTCTAGCTGAATGCTAAACAGGGCTATGGAAAGACTGAAATCATTAAATCGATTCAAAGGACTAAAGAGACTCGAGCGTATGAAGAAAGTTAGGGTGTGAGTGTCGATTTGCTCATCACAGGCACTCTATCACATCCACACCCACATTCATTTTTACTAAATCTGGAGTTGCCCGAGCAACTTATCAGCATAGTTCATTTCATTGACTGTCATTGGTCTCTAAGTGTGATCCGCTCAGAGGGGATCACTGGTCTGAAGGGGTAGTTAAAATTTCATTCATATAAGTGGAAAGTGAAAGCTCTCTCAAAACAATTCATAAACAGGAGTGTCATTAGCGGCAAGTTATTTCTAGGAGCGTATTTTTTTTTAAAATGTTCCACGTATAGATCCAGGCAGGCTTAAGAGGAGCTAAAGCTTGTCATAAAGTCTGAAACATCTCACTTTGCAAAAGCTGACTGACGAAAACGGTTTCTAGATTTTTTTGTCATTTAGTCACTGGAAAAATTCACTGAAAAAATGAGCTGAAGAACAACACTTTTGAAAGACAAACAAGGGTGAGGATGCCGCCTTGATCGAGTAGCATGTTTCTTTTTAATTTTATTCATTTCTTTTACACTGAAACTCAAGACGACAGTTGAGAATGCTGCTAGCCCCAAGAGAGTGTAAAAAACGTATAGTTCAGAGCATTTGGAAATAGTGTAATAAGAGTTTTAACTCCGAAAATGCTGACTTGAAACTATTCTATCAAGCTTCACTACAAAAGTTCTATTTTTTCTTGTGTTCAAAATGAAAGAAAAATTCGACGCTGTTTTCGCCGTTTTGATATGGTCAGGATTGAGCCCACCCTAGGCAGAAGTCTGGTTACGTCGTTACTA